CTACTGATACTGACCCATTTAGTTTTTTAATTTGTTTTCTTTTTCTTTAATTTTCTTTTCCATTTATATATTTGTTTAATAATGATTAAAAAAATATTAAAAATAATGTTAATTGTTTCTATATAATATTAGTTAATTATTTTTAATTAATTTTATTAAGTATATATTTAATTTAGTAAAACAATAATACTTAGTTACTTATTTTAATATTTTTATTTAAAAATAATTAAATATTTTCTTAATTAATTTTATTAAATGATCATATTTAGTTTAATTAATTAAATTTTCCTATTAAGTTTAAAAATCAAAAAATATTTTATTTTAATTTTAATTTTTTTTTTTAACTTTTAACTTTAATCATTCTGTTTATTAATAAATTTAATTATGTAAACTTAATTAGTTTTCTTAATTCTAAAAAACTAAAATTACTTTTTGATCATTAACTCTTAGCGTTATCAATCAATTCCTAATTAATTCTATTAAACATTTTTATTTAATAATAATTAACTTTAATAGTTAATTTTATTAAATATTGATGTTTAATTCAATTAATTACTTAAGTTTTTATTTATTTTCTTTTTCTAAATATCCAAAAACACTAATTTATGAATTTCCTTTTGATATTAGTTAATTAGATTACTAATTAGTTTTAGATGTTTAATTTGCTAATTTGATATGCTTAATTTAATTGGCACATTTGCCTTTTGCCTAATTTAAAATTGTTTGTGTGTTGGTTGTTCACTTTGCTCATATGCTTGATATCATGCCTTGATACTCCTTATGTCATTTATTATATGCTTGTTCAAACCTCGTTTTCAAACTAATATCTTGATTTTCAAATCAAGCCATTTTCAAATACCTTATAAGTCGATTGTTTTCACGATCGCCATCAACCTCATAGCCTCCTCTTGGACTTTGTACAACGACGCTTATTACACACTTCACATTTTATGTTTGCTTGCATATGTGTGAATGTTTACTTTAATTATGACTTGATACAAACCCATTTGAGCAAATATACCCTTCTATCATGAGGTGTAATGTCATACTTATATAGTTTAACATAAGATTAAAATCAACCATTTTTCAAAAGAGCAAATAAGCTTGATCCAATGTCAAGAATTTTCAAAACAAATTTAATTAATCACCAAATTATACTCAAGCATACTTGATCCACATATCAAGTTCCCTTACTTATTTTGCAAGTCGAGCACTTTTGCCTCGCCATCGACCTTACCTTATACCATTAGGACCTCATTTACTTTAGTTCAACCTTATTCGTTTCGTACGCAAATTTAAACCTTGATCCACATAGAACATTTTATCAAAGTAAACTTAATATAATTAACCAACTTAAACACAATTTCAATAACAAGATGAAAAGAGAGTTGGAATGGAGTCTTTGATTCCTCTTCTCGATTGTTTGGGCCCAGGGAGTCTTTCTTAAGTTTAAACAATTGTCTTCTCTAAAAAACTTTATAACACGACTCTACACCAAACTATTTTTATAACAAGTGAAATCAAACCTATTTTCTCAATACTTAAATGAAAAAGAGAGAGTAAAGTCTTTGACACATTCTCCCGATTACTTGGGCTTGAGGAGTGTTTCTTAAGCCTCGAGTAATCTTCATTCATAAACTACTCTAATTATATCAAAATCCTTTCACAACTAAGGTTGAAAAAGAGAGAGAGTCGAATCTTCGACTCACTTTCCCAATCACTTGGGCCCGAGGAGTCTTTCTTAAGCTTTGAGTGATCGTCATCCAATCAAAATACAAACACATTAATTCAACTTCTCGTTGTCGCGCGTCTAAAACCATTCCCTAAAAGAACAATGTTTAGTATCCTCTAAACACTTGTTTGAGAAAAACCAATCGTAGTATCACGAACTACGATGCTCTGACTTTCCCATTACACGAGGGAGTACGTAGGCACAAGGGCCCCAACCCTTGGCGAGCACCTTAATATACAAACCATCTATTCCCCCTTAGAAGAGAATCTTTAGAAGATAACAAACAAGCATAACTAACTTTTCTCTCGAATCAAATCAAGAGGTTCCCGTTGGGTACAACAGACGTAGAGGGTGCTAATACCTTTCCTTTGCATAATCGAATCTCGAACCTAGAATTTGGTTGCGACGACCACATTCTTATCTCTTTAAAGTTTTTATCGACATTTTCCTATTCCTTCCTTGAAATAAATAAAGTTCAGTGGCGACTTTGTTCAAACTTTTTTTTTCCGCGTCCATCGCGAAGATCGTATTTTTCGAGGTATGACAACAGGGCATGCAGCTCGATACGAAGACTTGTAGGTCGACGCATGCTGTTCTAGTTTTCAAAGTATTCATTTTGGGAAGCTTCAGGTCGACGTACAAGATCCTGGAGGTCGACGCATGCTGTTATACATTTTAAAAATCATTTTTTAAAAGCACTTTCACACTAGCTTATCATGCTAGAACATATGCTACGAAATTCCATCATTATAAACTCAATTTTATATTGTATTAACATTCTAAAACTCAATTATCCCTTGTTTTACTCATGGATTAACATCATACAATCATCACTTTCTTACCTACGACTCAAACCTTCATAACTCAATAATGGGGGAAACTTATCAACAATCCAAAACAGATTTATCACACATATATGCAAACGAAATTCATCACCTCTAAATCATCATTAACACACTTAAGATCACAATTATATCAATGGCATATCAAACATCATAATCAACGATTTTGCCATACTTTTCATCATGCTTTTATTAAATCATCATACAAGACAAAACCTACATCTATCTTAACCACCTATCGATCAAAATAAACTAGGATTACACCACTTATCTCGATTCCTAGTGATTGACTCTCTTGCTTTACGTTTTACCGAATTCTTCTCTTGGTTTTCTGTAAGCCCTAGTTTCTCTTCCATTCTTATCAAATGTTATGATCGTACATAATGAATTTGCTTTCATTGTTTTACTTGTTTAACCCTATGACGCTTTCTATGGTTTGTCTCTTACGCCCTCACTTACTCCTCTAACTCTCCATTATGCCCTAAATATTCTCCCAATTGTCAACTCAACCCCTCATTCTTATTTTCACCTAAATATTCTTATTTTAATTATCATTATAAATCTAAATAATATAACTAAATTTTATAAATCTAAATAATTCTACTTCTCCCCCAATATCCCTCTTATTTCCCCACAACACATCAATATACATCATATAAATAAATCAAAATTCATAAATAATCACAAATAATCATTTAGATGAATAATTCTAAGTTTTTGGGTTGTTACATCATTTCCAAAGTCTATCATCAAAACTTGGTGAAACAAATAGTTTTTGGACAAATGGGTTTTGAAACTTTCACAAGCTGATAGTTAGAGCTTTATATCATAGTCTTGTCTAGAGAAATTCTATTCAGAATGTTGACTTGATAGATCATAGTTGATTTGTTTGAACACGCTTCTATTCTTTTATTCAAAATCTGGACATCTTTAGAGTCATAATCTGTTTCCAATTTTCTGCACACTCAGTAAAATAGTTAGAGTACAAAATTGTTCTTTACACTTTGTTATCATAAACACTTAAGGATAATAATAATAATAATAATAATAATAATAAGATAATATTAGCACTCCAACGTCCAAAGCAATGTGAGAGTAAGATGAATTAATGAGGTTTGAATTCAAAAGTACTTAAAAAGTGACGTATTTTCCTTTTATATAGTAGGATGATTATAACCACATGATGATTTGTAGACATGGAATGTAGAGATCTATTTGATTGACCATAGATCGAGATCACCTACATTTTAAGTATGATAACATACTTGAGTCACATGTAATGCGGTGAGTCGTTTAGCTCACTAGATCAAAATTACTCGACTCTCTGGTCCTAAAACACTTTCCTTCGTCTTTATTATTCTTGACAAAATATTATTTTTGGTCCTTAAAAATGTCACCAAAAGTTTGCATACACCACATATTCGATCCTTGGTCCTCTTGGTTGCAAGACACACTACTTTATCACTAGCCCATTTTGCATTTTTTGATTGAATTTATACATTAAGTATAATTGAATTTTCAATAGTTTATAAAATGTTGACAATGCTCACAAAAACCAAACATTAAACAGTTGGCATGCACTCAGTGAATGGTGTTAATGGTATCTGTTGCGCCATTGTTGCTAATGTTCTATAATATCAATTGTAATTAATAGTAATTGATGAACACATAATGTTGCAATAAACATGGAGTATCTGCTGCGCCATTGTTGCTATTGTTGCAGGTCGTTAGTACGTTAGTGGCAAACACTAATTAAAGCACATGTCGATGTGAAATCATGACCAACTAATCCGTAGGAAGATGCGAGGAATCATGACCAACCAAGCACCATCCTATGATTTTGTTGCACTCTAACTCATGTACATGTATTTCTTACAAGAAGAGATTCAGAAAATTCTTGATGAACAAAAAAGATACTTTGGATTTAAAGTTGCAGCAACTTGAGCTTGAAATGAAACAAAAGCAGAAATTCCATTATGAGGAGTTTAAAAGCAAAGAGAAAGTTTTGGAGAATAGGGAAATCGAAGTAAACCATATGAAAACAAAGGTTAGAAAAGAAGAGCCGACTTTGAATAAGAAATCTGAGAGAATAAAGGAGTAAAATAAGAAATTTGAAATAAAATTGAAGTCTTTGAAGATAAAACTTACTATTTTAAATTCTTAAAGAGTGTCCACTCGTTAGCATTTCTCTTAATTTTTTTTAAAAAATAATTTATAATTTAGAACGAATTAATAATATTTAATATTAAAAGTAAATAAATAAATAAATAAATATTATATACATACTAGTATTTGATTAGTTTCAATTTGGTTCATGTTTAAAAAAAGTAAACTAGTAAAATCTATCCAACCGGTTTTGCACCAATAAACATCCAAAACACATGTGATTTGGACATTTGGCTTCTGCAACATTCAACAAGCAAACAATGGCACAACATGTTGGGTCCCACCTTCACCCCCACTCTCATCCGGCATCAACATTCTTCTTCACAATTACAACTCCATCAACTCAGTCAACTACTCTCTCTCCGTGCAGCTTCACCTTCCCATCCTTTTCATCTTCATCTTCATCTTCGATTTCCATCTCGCCTTCATCTCCCTCGTCGATTCCGTTAAGGCACGAGGAAGGCCGGTCGCAAGATGATGATCCTGTTTCGTATCTTCATCTTCAACCAGTCAGCAGCGAGGACAACTTCGATCGCGTCGTTGCCGAAGCTCAACATCAACAACACGCCCTCCTTGTTGTTTGGTACATTCCTCTAAATTTGATCGGAATTTGTTTCTCTTGCTTATTGATTTGAGGTGAGATTATTGGTTTGCAGGATGGCAAGTTGGTGCAGAAAATGTATATATCTAAAACCGAAATTAGAAAAGTTGGCAGTAGACTATTATCCAAGGTGAGATTTCATTTTTGTTTTTTTTACTATCATACAGAGCTACAACAATTTCAGTGTATCTGTAACAGACATTTATATATGCGAAACTTTTCCTTTATAACCCCGTAATGTCCACTTTGAATGAAAAATTTCTCCAGCTTTTATGTAGTTTATTCTTGGGGAAATGCCTTTTAGGCTATATTTGCGAATTTAGAAGAAAGAAATGAAAGACTTTGGGTAGAGGGGAGTAGAGAGTAATAGAACTAGGGTTTGACCTAACTCATCCCTTCAAAACAGACTTTCTTTAGCAGTTTCTTTTTCATCTGAGCTTTTTGGACAGCATTTGCTTCCAGAGCTTTCAGACCCAGACCGGCTCTCTCTCGTTGCATAGCCTGAATAGGGTTCTTACATATGTCTCCTAGATGTATTGGAGTCAGGTTAAGAAAGAGATGAGAACAACAGTAGTTAGGTCATCTGGTTCTTTCGGTACAGTAGGAACAGGAAGGAGTAACTCATTGTTCATTACCCCAGTCTTTGATTTCTTGCTCATACTCTCAAACATCATATCGATGTCATAGTAGGTCAATTGCCTGCTCATCTGCGGTACAGATAAAGGATCCATAGGGGCAAGTGGATCAACATTTTTCTTCATTGGGATAGGCAAAACACAAGCGGGGACCTGAACCGGATCACACTTGTACTGTGGTGCAGATTTGTGAAAATGTTGATTCTGTATCCTTAACTCTGTTATCTGTTTCATGAGCTCCTGGACCTTGTATCAAAGCTCTTTGGAGGTGGCTTCTAATGTTCCCTTTAGTCCTGTGATCCTCTCTTCAGTATTGGTATTTATAGATTCTGCGCCAGCACAATAGCCAATAATGAATGACTCAACCTTGTCAAACTGGCGGATTTTATGATCAACCAGATATTCGAGAAGTGACCCTTCCTCTCTGAAATAATGATGCCACTTTCTTCGAAAGTCGCTATTATCTTTGGAAGTGCCCTCTCATAGGTTTCAAGTATCCTGTTCTCTTCAGCAGTCAGGGAATTTCTTGCAGCTCTCAGAAAGGATTCTTTGACAGAATGAACTCTGGTTTTAATCTTGTTTGCAGCAGTCGAGACAGCTTGCCTCATCTGTAGTGGAGGCTTTTAATTGTGTTTATAGCCTCTATCTTGGACGCTTTTTGGCCAACTTTCATGTCTTTCTGAGCTATACCGTTATCGGCATCAGTCCTCAAAGCCGGGGATGTTACATATACTTGGTTAAAACGTGCTAATATCCTATTTAGGCAAGTGTTGGAAGATTCTTATTTTATTAGTAGGTTCAAAATTTTAAATGTATGCATAATCATTATTAATATGATAGATATGTGGATTATTAAATAACAGTGTGTGTAAGGGTCGTTGATTATCAAGCAATTTCTTGTGGAGTATAAATACTATACTAGGCATTGTTTTCGGGTATGGGATTGGAGATGTAAAATTGTTAGTTCTGCTGCAGAGGAGGGTTTTCAACTTTATCCATTAAAAGTTGTCATATCAATGGGCAAAGGGCTTGTATCTTTATCTTTTGACAAGTTAGAGTGGGGGAGGATTTTCAACTTTTCTATTCAAAAGATTTTATTGCAATGTTGTTCGTAGGGACTTTGATCCCTTATCCAAGGATGTTGGCGTTTTGGTCTTAATCATGTTAAAATGTGTTGTTGTGTTTATGATTTTGTCCCTGGTTACTAGCATTTATCAAACATATGTAGAACAGGATGCGAGATTTTCCAAACACAAATAATGTCAAGAACTAGAAGCATTTAGCCTCCTCTCATTCATGAAGCTTGGGAAACTCAACGATCTGAGTTCTAGGTATTTGACTTTTCTTGTTACTGAGCCCCCTAAATCTTGCAGCTTCTCCTGGCATACATTCTATGCACATGACACAGTTTTCAACGCTTCACTTTAGTGATCAAGTCGACCTATGTCTGTCTTTCCAGCTCTGGGTCTCATACCACTTGTAATACTAAAAGTCACCTTTAAATAGTGCACATAATACTAATCCCAAACTCTTTTGACAGCATAATAGAGGTCACCAGTCCAATAAGAATGTCACCACAGCTACCTCAAGATGTGGTTGACATCATCAAACATCATTGCATTTGCTTCAAATCCTTTGAAGTCTTGTACCAAAAATATTACTTTGGAGTCATCTCTACCAAACATATTACAAACCAGCACAAAGAATATTGATTACAGAACTGATGAGCATCTATTGATCGTAGTTGATTAGTATTTTGACTCGTGCCGAGTGATGATTTTAGAGTGTGCTAATGAATCTAGAATCATATTCTAATACTTCGAACTAACTTATATTTGTGAAGATACTTAGATTTTAGAGTATAGTAAACATATTTTCCATGCGTAATTTTGTTGTTGTTGCTGTCATGTCATTTTTGTTCAGTATCTGTCAACTCAATCAAGGATATGTTTGTTAATTTCATGTAGATTGCAATTCTACAGTGTAGATGTTAATGCAGTTTCACACAAACTTGTTGCCCGTGCTGGTGTGACTGTAAGTTGCTCTAAGCTTCCACTTTATATTCATTCTTTTCTTTTGCTATCTCTATTTTATGTGCTTCCTTAGATAGATTATTCTGATTTTATTTCACCCTAATATTATGGTCTTTGATTTGCTACTGAATTGTTTTGCTGGAGGGGCCGGGAAACATTTCAGGAACATCTGAATGATTTCCAATATGTGAAACCATTTATCTCAATTTTCCTATCATTTTGATTGTTGTATTTGCTTCAACTAAATTAGCTATCTAAACATTTGTCTTATTATATTTCTTCTTCCATGTGCTGCATCTTGTGGCCCTCTCAATCTTCACTGCAGAAAATGCCAACCATACAAGTAAGCACCGTTGTATTCTATATGATAAGTTTGTTGTATTCGGCTTATGCTGGTGATTTAAATGTCTCCTTTGCAGCTATGGAAAGACAGCAAGAAACAAGCTGAAGTCATTGGTGCAAATAAAACATATTTGGTAATAAATGAGGTTCGGGAGATGATTGAGAATGAGTCCACTATGTGAGTTTTTAGCGCAGCAGCCATTTTATGAGATTTTATTATATCAGTTAATGGTTTTAAGAACTTTTTCCCTGTCAAATGTATATGATTTTTCTTTTGCATCTTTCCAAACACATTTTTGAAGTTTTCTAATAGTTCAAAGACATTCATTAAGGTGAAATTGCTCGATTATGACTATTGCATCCGAAGCCATATATATATATATATATATATATATATATATATATATATATATATATATATATATATATATATATATATATATATATATATATATATATATATATACACGGCTAAATCACTATAATGTATAAGTGAGGACATTTCATAATTTCTCTTTGATTTGAGAAATGTTGTGTATGCTTATTATAGTCTGAAAAAACGACAGATGTCAATTAATCTATTGTAATATATATTACATATTCAGAAATCTAACCCACCGAATATATATTTGACGCTATATGTATGTCACTCATTTAAATGTAAAAGGGTTGAGTTCTAAAGACAATGCCTTAAAAAATAAATAGAAGTAAAGAGATGTGCAACTTAATGGATTCACCCACACAAATATATTAAAAATTAGGGATAACATACTATCACAAAATTAATAGAAGAAAAAAAATTAGCATCAATTAAATATTATCTAGAATAAAATAAAACACAGTACTGAAACTTAACATTCTTGGCTAAGGCATGTAAAAGATTTTGACATCGTGTATCAGTTATCAAGTATAATTGATCTCATAGCTAATACCTCTTTGAATACAAGCCAGTTCAAGTTCAATGTACTAGTACTTCGCAATCCACGTGTGGCTCCTCTTCCTTAACGATTTGGAATTATCACTAGTTCTTTTATTTCTAAAGTGTCAGAATCTGATCTTGTGAACCTCGTGCCCAGTTTAGTGCTTCTCTTTCTTTGGGAGATCATCAGAAGTTGCACCTTGCTACTTAAGTCAGATTTTATTATGGATCAGGTACCACTGGTTTACTCCTCGTCTTCTCATGAATTAGCTATTGCTGAACCTTGTATCCTTGTGGGGAAATCAATTTTGTAAATGGGGTTTTTGTCCTTCCGTTGGGAGTAATGGTGGCCTCCTTTTGATATGGTGCATTTTAAACGATAGATCTTTATTTTCTTTCTTTAGTTATGGGTTTCTGGGTACTTGTTTAGAGGGAGGGTCTTCACAAGTTGTGTTTTATGATCAATGTGTAAACCAAGTGTTCTTTGGTAGACAAAAGAGCCATGTGGGTCGACCTGATTTCTAGGAAAACTGAGTTTTAAAGGTGTTCTTTGGTGTGTTTTAGGAGATTTTAATTATATCTGCTCTTCCGTCGAGAGGATTGGTGTGGGGGTGTCTTCTAGTTCATCTAAGAGAGTGGATTGTTTGGATTTTTTAAATTTTATCTCTCAGATGGAACTTTTAGATCTACCTCTCTTCGAAAGAAAGTTCACATGGTTATAACCTTATGGTGGGGTAGCTAGCAGAATTGATCGTATTATGATTTCTAGTGGGTGGTGGGATAATTGAGGGGAGGTATCTCAATGGCTCTTCTGATGGATGTCTCAGACCATTGTCCTATTATCCTAAAGTATGATAATTAGTTATGGCTAAACCAATTAGGTCTAATAATCATTGGTTAGCTCATAGTATTCTTCTTGATCTAGTGACTTCCTTTTAGAGAACTAATAAAATCCATGGTTGGAAAGCTTTTGTGCTGTTGGAGAAGTTTAAAGCACTTAAAGTGGTCATGAAAACATGGAATAAGGAGGGTTTTTTGTAATCTTGAATATCAAATTGATAAGTTGAAAGAGGAACTTAGCAAGGTGGATTTTGTGGCTGACGTTAGAATCTTATCTGGTGTAGAGATCGAGACTAGATCCAAAGCGATTATGGACTTGTGGTCCCTTCTTTGAATAAAAAATTCCCAAATCTTTCAGAGATCTAGGTCTAAATGGCTCAAGGAATGTGATTATAATTCTGGTTACTTTCATGCTTCAATTAAGATATTGATTAACTTAACTCGAAAAGTACTAGTCGTCACCGAACTTTATTATTTCCAAAGAGAAAAGGTCGAACAAAATCCAATTAAAAGTAAAAAGTCAAAAAAGAGAGATCTGGATACATGGGTTGGTTATGCAAGAGGAAGGTATTAGCACCCCTCACATCCGTTGTACTTAACGGGAACCACTTGCAAATTTGTGTTTATAAAAAACTAGATTGTTTGTTGATTGATTTTAAATGAAAAGACGTTTTGTCGTATTCGAGTAGAAAAACTCAATTTACTACCCACAAGTATGAGGAAATGAACATCTACTTCATCTTGGTATGAAGAACTTTTACTTAGACTTTCTCACAAGTACATCTCAACATTCAAGTGGAAAATGTCAATCATTTCTCAACATCTTGTAGAAGTATAGTGGTTCGCATCACTACAAGAATAAACTTATATCTAATCTTTTGAAAAAAGGGCTTTTTAAGAAACGTGCATAAAGGTAGAAAAGGAGGTTTGATGAGATTTTCCATTTTTAGAAGTTTTGAAAGAGTTTAAATGCTTAAGTGTTTTAACATTTATTGAGAAAAGGTTTTCTGGATCACTTGACAAATTCAAGGTTTATTAAGAAAAAGGTATGAAGTTTGAAAACAAGAAGTTTTTTTTTATAAAAAAAATAGAGAGAAGTTTTGAAAATTTAGAATTGAGAAGGAGATGAAGAGACTATCATAAAGCATAAAGTAAATGGTCTCATTGTCAGGTAGTCCAAGAGAAAGTCTTTGTTTGTGGAAGTGTACTAACCATAAGAGGAAACATGCATTTGACATTGGTCAAAACAAGCATTCATTTTCTTTTGGATTGAACCACAAGATAAACAAGCAACATGCACATATGAACATCAAAGAAAAATCAAATGGACAACCAAGATCATCAAGCCATAAAGAGCCTCCAAATCTTGAATTGAGGATCAAAAGTCTCAGATGAAACATTAAGTCCTAAGGTTCAAGGTCCAAAGTACTCCTCAAGCAAGGGATAATAACAAAGTCCCAGATATCAAATTAATTTTTTTAGGGTTTTAGCCATTTTATCATGTTTTTGTGCTTTTGAAATAAGAAAAGTAATAAAAGACAAAAAGTAAAAAGCCAAAATAAAAGGCAAGGATGTAAATGACAATGAATGTAAAATGATATAAAAGTAAATGACATAAATGTAAAGAGCATAAAAGTAAAAGTTAGATGTTAGCACGATTAATATGTCAATGTTAGTGTTAATGAGAATCTAATCGAGTCAGGACACTTTAGCGCTATGTTAAGCAATTGTAAGTGGACTTATGTAGAAGTCACACCTATTGAGGTCGCTCAATAACAATTTATGTGTCAAACATGTTAGAGAAATAACATAAAGTTATTCTCCTAAAACATGTACAATGAGAAAACCAAAGATGAATATAAATGGAGAAAGAGAGATATTGAGGCACTCATGTATGAGATCATTTATCAATAAGCCAAATGGTCAAAGTATGATCCAACTAGGGATAACTTATCTCTGATCCAAAGTACCATAAATGATCAGATGATCATTTATAAGCAAGTTTGTATCAGAGAAGGTTAGATCAACCAATGGACCATCACTCAAGGATTTGAAAGTTTGAACACATGATCTACCAAGCAATCATCAAAAGGCAAATCACAAATATTCAAAAATATGAATAAAAATAAAAATAAAATCATATAAAATGATTTTAAAAATGATCAAAATGGAAATTAAAAGGAAAATTCCAAAAGAAGCATCAAAAGATAAGATAAATGGTGGAGAAAATTATGAGAAGTCCAAAATATTACAAATAAAAGGATCTCAAAAGTTGGATGTAAAAATGTTTGAAAATGATCAAAAATAAAATTGAAAATAAAAATTAAATAAAAAATAAAGAAAATATGAATTAAATAAAAAATTATTTTTAAAAATTATGCAAAAGAATATATGTGGTAGAAAATATTTTTAAGAAATTATGAAAAAAATTGAAGTAAAAAAGCATTAAAAATGATTTAAAATTAAATCAAAAAAGAAAAAGAAAATAAATACAATTTAAAATGAAAAGAGCAATGACTAGCTGCGTGTCAGGTTCCTATTGGTCATAATTAGAATTTAGCACCAAAGCGCGCGAAACAACTTTGTATTCAACCTTCAGCTCGATTTTGCAAATTTGTGTTTTTAGCCAGAATCAAGCAAGGATTCAAGTGCGCAACACTTCATCGTTCATGTCTCTCTGCATCAGAGCAGTTGATTTGCTCTGAGCAGAGAGAATTTTCTCAAACACGTGAAGAATCCTAATTCTTTAAAGTAAAATTAAATGATGGATATGTAATATAAATTTAAGGGGATAAAGAGCTTTTGATCAGTGGAACAAGACGAAGAGGCTGATAACTTGTTTGCTAAAAAATGTTACTCGTACCTACCTTTTCAGTTGAAGCTTCAGAGGACAACAATGGTGGAAATGGAGAGCTTGATTCAGGAAGCTTCAAAGCACGAAAATGGTTTAGTTAGCTTCAGAAGGTGTCGATGAGTAATTCTGGGCGAAGAAACGAAGTAAAACAAGCTTGAATTGAGGAAATGGATTTATGGTTTTTGGAGGTATGAGGCTCAAATGGTTGCAGAATGTTTTGGCTTTTAAAGCTTGGAAATGAAGGCAAAATGATCCTCTATTTATGGGAAATAAAATGGTGAACTCACACATGTGGTTTGGATATGAAATTCGTGTGAGCTAGGGTTGGAATTTTGATTTTGCCATCCGTGTGAGATGAGTGATGAAAAGCATGACTTAGACATGCAACCTGGTTGTTTTATGTTTATTTGCACGCGTTTTTGGTTCACAAAGAAGTTGCACATGTGCTTGTGGTCCTAGATTGAGATTGTAGTGAAAATGATGACCTAAAACTTGCGTGGAGAACAGAGTTCATGACACCATGTTTGAACTTAGACCAAATGGAATCCACTCGTGCGTTCTTGAATTTT